TATCACTTGGCAACTGCTGGAACACAAACCACGAAGCGGTGATAAACCGCTGACTGTTTATATAGGTATACTAATATCCAGCAGCTGTCTATCGTCACAGCTGAGTCTGCAGGGGTTACTTGGAAAGTTGAATTATGTAAATGGAACATTTCATCTCATACTATCATCTGCCAAACCTACGCACAACGTGACACTGTACTTTTCTGTTCTGCAAATCTAGAGTAATAGTATTGTATACTTCAAACTACTTTTACCTTCTAAACTATACATAAAAATTTCCCAAAATGTGCACCCCTTCCCAAAAATGTTTTTTTTGGGGGGGGGGGGGGGGGGGGGGTTAGTGAAGCTAGAAGGATATTTGCACATTAAGAGTGTCTGCTATTAACACTGATACTTCTATATTGTGTTACTAATAGAAATGTGTGTTTGTAGCTCATATTTAGGACTTTCTTGATAGTATTGCTGCCATATTTTTATTCAATGAAAAACTCCATGCAGAAGGTTTTTCCGGCACAGGATCTGGTAAAGATTTCCACAGTATAAGGTGAGTAATAGGTCTGGGGCACAGGTGCTTTCAAAGAATCCATTGACAGTTTATTTGATGGAGTCATTTTTGGGGCTTAGAGGTAAATCAGGGTTAAGGGGTTGAGTTTAAAGCACCCCCTACTGCATTGTCTTACATTTCAGCTTTATTTCCTTCCAGGTATGGAGAAGCATGTGACTCACTGAAGTGAACTAGGTAAAAGAAAACCTTTACTAAGAGAAGCTTCATCCTGCTGAAAATGCTAGTTTCCTGGCTGTGGGTCCCATGGCTTCAATGCTTTCTGCATCACTAGCTAGGCACAAGCATTACAAAATTATAAGGAAGAGGTCAACAATGGCAGACTATATTTTTTTCAGGGCAGGTTTCCTTTGTGTTTTAGAAAAAAAGGGAAATTCTTTCTTAATATGTCATTACCTCTTCAACCTTTCAACTTGATATTGAGGCATTTTAAGCTCCTGATCCTCCCAACGTATTATATTTGGACAGATCAAATATATCTTTAACAGGCCTTCCTTCTTCTGGGACCCATGCATTAGGATAAACCAGCTAAAATGTGGACGTTTGGAGGTTTGACCCCCAGATCAAATGTTATTTGCTCAGTGACCAGTGTGCTGTCTAGGGCTGTTGGAACAGCTTCTAGGGTGTTGTTGACCTAGACCCTGAACCTTATACCAAGCACAAATCTGAGCCTATCCAATGTTGTCCAAATTTGCTTTATTCTGAAGAAAATGTTTAAAATATGCTAGCCCATTCCCTTCTCTATATCTACCTTGTTGAGATCCTCCTAGATCCTATTCAGCAGAACGCAGCATTTGCGCAGGTAGTCGTCACACCGAGTGCTGCCATTTGAGCATGGGAGAAGGATACTTAGCCCTGTGTGAGCTCCAAACCAGACCAACGTGAACCTACACATGGCTTTTTCTTGGGTCTCAGACAGCTGAAATGTGGGGAAGGTAAGTATTAGCAGCGGAGGGGCCAACTTTTCCTAAGCACTAAGTAGGTAAAGTACAGGTTCACTTTACAGCCCTACATTTATCCTTAGAAAATGAGCTCCGTCATAGGTGCGAGTCCCCTTCTTCAGTCCCAAAGCTCTCTGTAATGAGCTGCTGTGTGAAAAATCTTCAGAAAATGCTGCTAACCCTTCCACCCTTATTTCCTCTATGTAACAGACAAGTGAGCAGTGCAGTTACATCATGGCTTACAGAAATATTACATTTAGAAATATAGACATTTAATATATAATAACTTTTATAATAGTTTTTACTATCTGAATAATCTATAATGAAAAGATAATGTTTAGTCTCTGCAACTTTAAAGTATTCCATACAAAAATAAAATGTAACAAAAAATAAATAGGGGCTTTATTGCCCCCATTTTTATGCTTACAAAAAAATAGATGCAGCTACACACAGCAACTGCTAGACAGAGGTAAAGCTGTGCCTGTGGTCACCTGTTAGGACTCTAAAACTTTACTTGTCACTTTGGATAGAGTTGTTAGGAGATTTCCCTTCACTTCCTGTCACTGAAACACATATAATACATACAGCAGTAACATTCTGAAAATTGTCCTTAACCTTCCCCAGACATCAATCCAAAAAAATAATAACCTTAGCATACAGGCCTAGCTCTGTGGCATAATTGTGGGTCAAGACTAGAAAAACTTTAATAACTTTTTTTCATTTGTGGAAAAAAATGGTATGTAGAAGACAACTGTACCTTTATATTAGTGTGGCCTAACCCCACCCCACAGACACCCTCTTCTATTTACTTCAGATCAGACAGTGACTTCCTCCACAGTCTAGGCAGTTCCAGTCCTTTTAATTGAGCCGGCTAGCAATGGCATACTGGTTTCTCCCTAGGACCTAATGGAGAAGCCATCTACTTACAAGCCAATGGGGATGCAGCTTCTCACTTGGGTCCTATGGAGAACCAGTTCAGAAGAAGGACTGAAGCCACCTGAGATGGCGTAGGTTATGGAAGGTGGAGGATGTTGCCAGCTGATTGTAGGTAAGAAGAAGGAGGTATCTATGTGATAGGCAGGGGGAGGTTTGACAAGTATGGCTCCCCCATAGGAGAGATTTCCCACTGCTTTCTGACCTATTGTCTCCAAGAAAGGAAGTGAGAGGGATATCTCCTAAGTGGGCCCAAAGACCGCAATAAAGCTCCTAAAAGAGGCTCTAAGCCTTCCCCAAAGCTTTTTCTGGATTGCATATTTATTTGTCCACCATTGTTGTAAAGACAAAACGTTCATCAACTGTATAACCTATGATTAGGGATGCACAGATACTTTTTGAGTACCAGTGCAGATACTTGGCATTTTCATGAGAACTACCAGGGTTGCAGAGTTTGCAGCTGGGACCTGGCTCTGGCACTCCACCACTGTCCTGAAATCATTAGTCTGTATTGTTTTAGAAAAACTGTCACATGACAATAAACAAAAATGTATCAGTACTCGTACTTGTAAGTACTCGGCAAGTACCAGTACTCGTACTCGCAAAACTGGTATCTGTGCATCCCTTTATTTATATTTATAAAAACAAAATCGTACATTAAAACAGAGATGTACAAATCCCAGGAGCTCCGTGTGCTCCTTACAAATGACAGCTGCCTCCTAACTTTTACATTTTTATCTAGTGTAGTCTTGGAGCTCAAAGGTATCGGTACATGTATTCGTACTTGTACCGAGTACTGTACTTGGTATCTGTGCAACCCTACCTATGATATTAGAATTATATGTATATACATATAAAACTTAATATAATATCATTAAAATGGACACAAATTTGGTTAGGGCTGGCTTTGGCAACTAGTCCTGCAATCCACCCAGGAAATGTTACTCATACACACATCAGGAAAAGGGTAAGCGCTCTTCAATGGTCAATCTTACCCACTTTTAGACAAATGATATGACCATATGATCATGCTATAAGAGGCATTTTAAAGCTGAAAAATAATGACCACACAGAGCAAATGGCTTTTTGTGACATCCCCATCATCTTATGTGAGCATGGGTACCCTTATTACTTTGAAAAAAATGACATCCTTCAAATGTAAAAATTAGGCATAAATGATAAAAAAAAATACTCCAGTGTTCTATGACTTGTAACTTAGAAAAAGTTGTAAAGTCAAAACGTTTTTTGTTTTGTTTTAGGGTAGGGAAGGATTAAAACCCCTATAAAGTTATCCTTGCTCTCCCTGCTGGGGAGATTTCACTTCACTTCCTGTCCCAGAGATACAAGAAATGGGAGGAAATCCCTCCAAAGTTAACAGAATTCCCATATAGAGTTGTGACAGAAACTGGTGTTCCCAGTTCATGATTTTCTCTCACCTCTTAGTTTCCCTTAACTTTCTGTCTCAGTAGCAAGAGTCACCAAGACGAATAGTGGGGTGAATTCCACTGTGGGCAAACAGACAATAAAATGTATCAAAGAGCCTAACTCTTCACTACTCTACACAGAACTAAAAAAAATGTTTTAATTTACATACACTTTAAAGCATTAAAGTGTCACTAAACTCAGGAGTTAAATATTGAAAAAAAGCATTCAAGTACCTTAACTATTAACAAAAATTTATCTTATTTGTGTATCACTCGGCTGTAGATCCCCAAATCATCTCTGAATTGGTGCTGACACTGTCCTTCCTTCTGGAGGGTGGCTACTTTTGTTCCCCATGGTCCCTGTTGTAAAGTAGCCACGGCTTCAGGTTGGCTCCTATGATGGACTATAATCTCACGTTAAGTTTACTAATTTGTACTGACAACACACACAGGGACCATGGGGAACAAAAGTAGCCACCCTCCAGAAGGAAGGACAGTGTCAGCACCAATTCAGAGATGATTTGGGGATCTACAGCCGAGTGATACACAAATAAGATACATTTTTGTTAACAGGTAAGGCACTTGAATGCATTTTTAAGATTTAACTCCTGAGTTTAGTGTCACTTTAATGCGACACAAAAAATATTTATAATTGTAGAAAAAGACAGAAAAACATACAAAGTCCTCCCTATGCTAAATTTTAAATGTTGGGTTAAAACAAGAACAGGCTTAGTAACCTTTATGGTTCCAGTGATAAACAATTGCAGATATACTTCCCAAATGCACAGCAGCAAAAGCCCTAATACTGAATTCTCCATACTCTCCTACAGAGTGTTCTCCAGCAGGACTCGACTTTCACTTACTTTCACCTAATGTAAAACACCTCTTTCAGAAGCAAATTTGTAAATTTCAAATAATATATTTGTTCATCGACCATTGAGGTCAACCTATTTAAGTGAATTCGCTGTGCCAGAATTAGCACGGGGCCAGGAAGATGAAGAGTGGCTTTTTCCACCTGAGAAATCTTGCACTTGGTATTTTGCCTTGTGGACAGATTACCAGTAAAGCTCTATTGAATAATAATAATAATAGCTAATAAGGTCGGTAAGCAGCTGTTATATATTCAAACACTCTGGATTATACCCGACACTGATTTTCACACTGCACATCTAGATAATTTACATGGAATGAATGACCCATATATCTCTTATTTTTAGCATTCTCGGATAATTATTCATAAGACAAACATGCACACCACCTTTCTATCATGGATCAATGACAAATTGTGATTTTTGGACCCTGTGTTTGTCTTGGGCTTTCATGCTATAGACTGAGAAGGAGCCCAATCTTCAGAGTTGATCCAGCGCATTAAGGGTGGATGAACCATACACAGTATGAGGTTTGGAATAGTTCTCTTTAGGCACAGAATGGGGTGCGTAAAGTTTGCTGACAGGACAAGGTTCTGCTTCCAGGTTACACAGCATTCATGTGAATACCTCCCATTGGTATATCTGTGTCCGTCTCTGGGGTTATGCTCTTGATGAAGCGCTATAAAGAAGGCAGAGTAAAATCAGTAATACAGACAATGTTCACTTTAGGATTAAGCAGGTCATTCATTTAAAGTTGTCTTCTTCAGAAACTTAAAGCATATGTCAAGCCAAATTTTTAGAAAAACCCTATACAGAGCGTGTCTCTTCAATAAGTGCCCATTTCCCTGTCTTTTGTCCCTTTAAAGACCCTTCAAGTACAGACAAATACCTGTTGATCTGCAAGAAATGCATTCAGCTCTTAAGCCTTGTTGTAGGCTGACAACACACAGGAATTTTGTAGACTGAGTGGTGTCAGCCCTGCCACTGTCTACTTAACCACTCCCACTCTCAGATCTCTACAATATAAAGGATAATCATTCTGCGGTCCAATATAACAAGTAGGAGGGCTAAGCAGGCTGTTTGAGATAATACAGGAAGTGTGCAGAGGACATAGGGCAGCTCTGAATTTCTGACAAGATCAACAGGTTTTTTTTTTTTGCACTTGTCAAACAGATATAACAAAGTGCTTCCAATGGTATATTTAACAGACCAAAAAGAATGGAAATGAGAGCTCTATTGTTGTAATTGACATACATTTTAGAGCAACCCTGTACTTTGTTCTTGCAAACCAAATGTAACTGCAGAAACTACAATATATTAGCATAAAATAGATTCAGGGCTTCTAGCAAACTCTGCAAGATATAAAACAATACAATACATGTACAACTTAGGTGCCTGCTATACAAGTCTGCTTGAGGCAGAATCATTTCAGGGTATCTACAGCCATATTTTCTTACTAAGAATGGGGTTTAGGCACTTTATTCCTCTCGAATAAGCTTATCATATTTATCATTTTGAAACATATTTCATTTCTAATGACATTATAGTGATCAGAGGAATCCCAGTAATCTTGTAATTACAGGGTAGTTTATAAAGTTCAGGAATCTGGTACTGTAAGAAACATGGTATGGCTATTTTAGGTGTTTACTTGCATGTTCTTACAACCCCCTCACCTCTTTTAGTGATCCAGGAGTACTAGCTAAACGGTACACCATGTACACTGGAACGCAGATGAAAGAGGAAGTCCCAATGCAGTAGCCAAGCACAACAGACCATCCGGGGTATGTGTAATTAAAAAGACGGAGTTCAGGGGGGCTGGACAAAAAGCTGCAAATAATAAACTGAAAAAAGGTAAAACATGTAATTGTAAAATGCAACATAGTGAAGTTAATAAAGTATATATAATGGACCTGACTCTTCAAGCTGCGATACAATAATGGCAATGCTAAAGTGACATCTCAAGCAATATCACATGGGATAATATTCCATTAGAGGCCACTTTACCATGCCTTAGAGCCCAATTAAACTTTAATTGTATATCACCTAAATACGTTTTAGGTGCATCAAAACAAACAAAGTTATACAGTTTGTTTTATTTAGAAACCAGCCACAGCAAAAGCCTACCCACTGCCAGCATGCTGCAGAGAACAACCCTCCCTCCCTGTGTGGAAGCAGTGGTTTTTCTGCAGAGGTCTGATGCCCGCTGCTGAGTCAAATTAAGACTCTCAATTCTGCAAAGCTAATGCTCACTGCTGTTAAGGGAGCTCTTGCTGTGGCTAAGCAAGGGAAATGTTGGACCTCTGATTACATTGCAATAATACGCCTTTGACATGTTTAATTCAGTTGTGGTTGGGTTGCATGGTTGGAAAGTTCAATACAGCCATTTCATTCACATTTGGTCATGCATTTACAGTATATAGTCCAATCTGACAGAGATTCAGTGCAAGAACAACAAAACGGCGTACCTATGTTAAAGGAAGCATCTGCTAAGAGAAAATGGGGATTGCCTTTGCTGACCTCTGCTTCTGAATATGCTGGCTGCTTGTTTGCCACGCTTGTCCAGTAAATTCAGTGCACATCAGGAGTCTGATGTCATTTTAACTTCACTCGATGTATGCTTGTTCCAGATCATTGACTCAGAAATGATTGAAGCCAGTCGGAGTAAAGTCAGTAGTTTTGATTTGTATATTTGTTCCTGATCCTCAGAAAGTGTTAAAGCCATGAAACCATTATGAAAGCCATGTAATTAGTATCTTTGTACAGGGAGGTCAGCAATGGCAGCCTCCATGATCTGTCAGTACTGGTCTCCTTTCAGCCAGATTTGTCAGACTTGCTGATGTATGTCCAGCTTGCCCATAAATTATACCTGATTGTTTTGCTTATTCATAGCTCCCAACTGTCCCTTATTTGGAGGTACTGTTCCTCTTCCCTCCTCAGTTGTCCCTCTATGTGGTCTGAAATATAGACATCTATAAAACTCTACTATTTAATAAGGAACTGATCTCTGCACTTTTTGGGCACAGCTTCCAAAGGACTAGTCACCGGCTTTGTCTGTGGTCTCTCAGCAGCGTTCCCCCATTTCTGACTTATCATTCCTTTCTCTGCACTGTGTCTCTGGGTAGAAGAGGCCATCTTGGTAGAGTCAAGGTTTTGCTATCTAGCCTTCCGCAAGAAGAACAATGAGCAGCACAGTAGTAACATCACCAAATCTCACTACCAAGATTCTGAGGCTAGCAGAGGCAGCAATGCCTTAGATCTCATACTGCAGATATACAGCTATGTAGTCACAAGAGTGCCTAGGCACACTTACATAACAAGAAGCACACTGCTTTATCTCAAAAGGAATTCAGGACAAAATGTACATTTTTCAGGGTACCACTTAGGCACACTTTACATTTGTAATTGTTCCCTTTAACATGGCAAGCCTTCATTTTTTTGAGTTCAGGTCCACTTTAACTCTCAAATGTGTTGTACTGCACTACAACTTTCATCTATCCGCTAAATTTGTTATTTTGAACACTCAATATAAAGGAAAAGATATTGTTTAAAAAAGGCACTTCTGGGTTTACACTATTACTTTTGGTCTATAAATCCTTCAAGGTCAATATAATGGGGGCGTGACAGAAGAGTGTCCTTTGCCAACATACTTTGTGCTTAAACTGTACCTCTTTCTCATTACGGAAAGTATACTTACTGCTTGTTCACGCAGGAAAAAAATCCATGACCTTCCTTTACACATTATTGTCTACTGACTACAGCTGTCTACATACCGTATGGCTTATGTTGCTCAGTTCATATAGTAAATATATATAATGAGTAGTTTAGTAACACCGTTTATGCTACAAATACCCTGCAGATTTGTATTTTCCGTAAAACCTATTGCTAAATAAATGTCTACAGTTATTTATGGACTGGAATACAAGATATAAGCCTGCAGTAAGAACATGTTACTTTTATAACTTATGAGCATAAAATAAAATGTGTTTCTCTTTTTACTCCTACTCATTACCAATGTTTTACTACAGTGACTGTGTAGTGATCACAACATAGCCCTATTCATCATCCATAGTGTATGGAGTAACAGCAATCTCTGGGAATCACATCTATTTTTATACAGCTAATAAAAGGGAAGAGATTAACCAGGAGCTTCTGCAAAATTTCAGCTCACTGTAAACTTGTTCTTTTCATTAACTGCTCCTGATCTGGAATATACACAGCACCCTATACATACAGCGGCCCTCAGGGTACTCGGGGGTGCAGACAACAGGTTAATACACAGATAATAAAACTCACTTAAGAAGGTTAAGTCACTAGTTCAGGTCACAGGCTGATGCCAACTCCATGTCAGCTTGTAGGATGATATTGTTCAGGCCTCAGTATCCTGGCCCATTTGTTGAAGCTTTTATATTACAAATGTATCTCATGCCAAATGTACTTTGTGACCTTGGTGTTGTTTCCAAACTGCTTTGTAGTGGAGATGAACTACATGGACAAAGGTTTAGTAAACCTCTCTCTACTGTGTATTAAGAAGACAGCATTGCACTTGCTATAAGCCATTTGCCATTGTACCCAAAAATGTAGACTAGGGCTTATGTAATCATTCATTTTATGTCGACCTGTAATATGATGTGATTCACTGTCTTAGCTGGACAACTATATTTGCTTAAAGAGACTCCCAAAAGGGTGCACTACATGCATGCAATAATGCTCAACATCTAAACTGTACCCATACTATTCCTCTTCTCTGGTGTTACCTTGTACTGTGCCCACCCCTTTTCCAAACCAATCTTCTTATCTG